TTTGATTTGCGATTATATGTTATAGTTACAGACGAATTTACTATTATTATTCAAGAGGAGCTAATATACACATTTTTATTGAAAAACTATGATTCTTCATGTATTTAATTTTATTTCTTAGTAAAAATTTTGACACGTGATATTTCTTTTAAAAAATGTAGCTTAGCTTTTCCCAATATTTTATCCCTATTGTCATGATAATGGATTAATGATCAATATTGTATAACTAAGTCCTTCATAAGTAGGATATTTGTATAAAATAACATACATATATCTGTATAGCTCTAATCAACTATGAAGTGACCCCTACGTATTAAATTATTCTAGAATTAAGATTCAAATTGTTATCAATTTGACATATATATTTATTGTAAGCTCATATTTAAAGCAAGAACAACTAAGCCAGCATTGTTTAAGCACACTAGAAGATCCTACTCGAATGTATTACTAATAAATAATCTATTCTAGAAAAAACATGTAATGTTTATATGTTAAATTTCCTCAATTTTTCATGTATTTACTATTTTCATTAATAATTATTTTTGGCTCCGCCCATAAACATGATATTTTAAAATTTTAACATTGAGTTGTTAATAAGTAACAAATATGATACATCTAGCATCTTTATATTGCACAAGAAAGAAAATTACGACTATAGTCTATAGGCCATTAGGCAATCTAACAAGAAAAAAAATCTTCTAATCTACTCATTTTCATTTAGGGTGCGCTCAACACGTAGAGGAATATTTTTAATTTTTTTTATTATTTGATGGATCAAAATTTTAGAAAAACTTTTTTTTTCTTTCTAAAAATGAATTCTCTTAATAAAAGAAAAAAAAATCGACAAAAGTCATTTATGTTGATTGTGCACATATTTCAATTTTTTCATATTCAGTTCAGAAAATTTTTGAAAAATATTTTCTCTCAAAAGACAATTTGAGATCCTTCAACACATCTTGTCTTTTCTCCACCATGAATATATATATATATATTTATATAAGTTACTTATGGATCGAATATAAGAAATCAAAATAAATTTAAAAACTCACTTATATTCGCGGAACATATTCTCATTCATACCTAACATACCCTTAATTCCATTTACTTTTCTTGTATTTGTTTAAAAACTACTTGTCCTCTAACTTGTTTCTCATGTTTATCCAAACCTAGAAGATAAGAAAACTTACTTATCTTGTTCAAGATTTTTCTTTGAACTTATTGCTAACACAATAACAATATTGTAGCACCACAAAAATTATTTTGGTGCAAACAATAACCACAAAAATAGAACTCTAAAGTATATATTAAAATTTTGTCCAACAAGTGTTGATATTCCTATGGTTATTATTGTGAATGGACCCACAAGGCACCACAAAATTTAACTTTGCTCTTATTTGATGACTCATTAATGACCAAACACTATAATTTCTCATTATTTAATTTTCTGGAATCTCCTGACTATGCATCCACCCTTCTCCTATATACTAGTTATTAGGTTCCCGCGCCAACGCGGGCCCAATGTATATTACTTCCTTCGTCTCATTTTATGTGAGGTAGTTTGATTCGCCACGGAGTTTAAAAAAGAAATGAAGACTTTTAAAATTTGTGGTCCAAAATGAATGATATAAATTTGTATGACTGTAAATTATTTTATTAAGGGTAAAATAAATATTTTATAATCAAATTGTTACTTAATATAGAAATGTGACATTCTTTTGGGACTGACTAAAAAGGAAAGTAAATAACATAAATTGGGAGTAGTTCTTTGTTTCAATTTATGTGACACCGATGAAATTTGGAGAGTTATATAATTTTTTGTATGTGATTTTGTTAAATATATTTTGAAGTTGTTAATTTATTGTGATTTATAGCACTTCTTATATCATTTTCAAATAATATATATTACTCTTTCTGTTCCATTTTATGTGACGTAGGTACTTTTATGAAACTCAACTAAATTTCTTATATGATTCTTAAATATTTTTAGTTGTTATTTTACTTTAATTTACGTTACTTTTTATGTTATTTTCAAACAAACTTCTTATGTTTCAATATGGAATTAAAGAGTCAATAAAATTTCTTTTATGATTTTTAATTATGTTTTTTTAATATCTTATATTATTACATTGTGATTTTAAGTACTTTTTATGTAATTTTTAAATCTAGAACAAATTAAAAGAAAAACAAGGAAAAATTTAAATGAAGAAAGTACTAAAATTTTCAAATAATCATATTTCTATATTAAAATGTTAAAAACTTTAAAACTCCACATATATGCAGAAAATCATATACGGAAGACAAAATAATTTTTAAAATATATATTAAAGCTCTTTCTAATAATATCACATATTTATTCTATTTTTCAAATAATATATATTTCTCACTCAATCTCAATTACGCAGTACATATGAAATTTCGAGAGTTAATCAAATTCTTAGTACTATTTTAAACTATATTTTAGTACTATTTATATAATTTTCAAATAATATATGTTACTACTCTATTATATTATGCAATACATGTGAAATTTCAAGAATTAACCAAAATTTTAATATTTTAAATTGATTTTTAGTACTATTTTTGTAGTAAATAGAGGAAGTTGAAGAAGAAGGGCAAATCGGTCAATTGACTGACTAACCCTAAGCTCCTAAACATTCTCACTTCTAAATGGAAGCACGGGCACAATATCCGTTAAATTGTTAATTATTATGATTTATAATATTTTTTACATTATTTTCAAATAATATATGTTATGTATTTTTAAATACTTTAAGTTGTGATTAATAATATTCTTAACGTAATTTCAAATAATATATGTTACTCCATTTGTCCCAATTTATGTGACACATGTGAAATTTTGAGAGTTAATATGTTTTTCAAATATTGTAAGTTGTTAACTATTGTGGTTTATGGTATTCTTAATGTAATTTTTCAAATAATATATGTTATTCCCTTCGTCTTAATTATACAATTCGCGTAAAATTTTGAGAGTTAATCGAATTTGTAATATTTTAAATTTATTTTTTAGTACTATTTAAAAAGGAAAAAATTAAAATATAATGAAAGAGGAGTGTATAAAAGTAGGTGGGCCATATTTGTGATAGGTGGGCCATCTTCAAAAACCAAATATAAAAGTAGGTGGGCCATCTTGGTGCCACGTGTCGAAAGAAGAGTGAATTTTATTCACTCTTCTTATATAGTAAAATAATTATATATAGTAATATATATGATATATGATTTAAATAAAATAAAAGTAGGTGGGCCATGGTGCCACGTGTCGAAAGAAGAGTGAATTTTATTCACTCTTCTTATATTTAATATATTATTATATATAGTAATATATATGATATATGATTTAAATAAAATAAAAGTAGGTGGGCCATGGTGCCACGTGTCGAAAGAAGAGTGAATTTTATTCACTCTTCTTATATTTAATATATTATTATATATAGTAATATATATGATATATGATTTAAATAAAATAAAAGTAGGTGGGCCATGGTGCCACGTGTCGAAAGAAGAGTGAATTTTATATATTTATTATAGATATATATACTATTATATATAGTAATATACATGATATATGATTTAAATAAAATAAAAGTAGGTGGGCCATGGTGCCACGTGTCGAAAGAAGAGTGAATTTTATTCACTCTTCTTATATAGTAATATTTATACAATTTTAAAAAAAATTATTTTATAAATTAATTTAAATTCACATCAAATACATTTATAATCAAATAGTTTATCAGTTGAGGTGATAATTCTAGAATAAATATGTTGTATATATAAGTAATTCTATCAAATATGAAAAAAGACTGAAATGATTCATATATATGAGGGTTATAGTAGACTTAAGGAGAGGAAGAAGTATGAGTGTGAAGATCGATTATTAGGATAAAAGGTCAGTAAGTTATCATTTTAACTTGTTATTATTATTTCTTCTTTTTCTTTCTTTAAATAAAAAATCTATCGAAAATAATTTCATCGCTTTAATCCCAATTTTTTTGAGTAAATTTTAGGTTTTTTTTGATAACCAAAAAAAAAAAAAAAAAAAAAACCTAAAATTTATTTTTTTGAGTAAATTTTAGGTTTAGCAAGCATAAAAATCATATTAGCGCTCATATTGCTATGGAGCATAAGATTTGTATAAAAATCGTAGGCAACTTTGATTTGTATAAAATCGCAAACATCTAATTTGTATAAATCGTAGTGATTTATATAAATCGGGCATATGTGTCTATGAAAATGACGTTTGTATATGTATATGTTCTTTGTGTTTGTATATCTGCATAAAATTTGAATTCGTATACAATTGAATCGTGTTAAAACAATTGTATTTGTATATTAAATCTCTCTCTCGCTTTATACAAACACAAATTATACATTGTATTTTGTATAATTTGTGTTTGTATAAAGCGAGAAAGAGAGAAAGACAAAAGAGAACAAGGCAGGGAAAAAATTGTATTGTATAATTTTAAGTGTATAGGACGAAGAGATATGTATCTGTATTTGTATATACAGTTTTCTCTCGCTTTATACAAACACAAACACAATTTATACATTTGTGTTTGTATGAAGTGAGAGAGGCGATCGAGATTTCTGGGGAGAGAGGCGAATGACAAAATGTTTGCTACGGATTAGAATTAAATGAAACTATGATTATAACATTTAATTTGAATTAATAATTTGTTATTTTATGCAATTTTCCTACTATTTTTTTCTTCCTAAAGTTTATGCACTTTGTGACGTGTCACAACATTTTCTATTCCTTATCCAATACATTTCTTCCACGTCATTCTCAACAACCCCAAATAAAATTATTTTATTACCCCTTTAGCCTTTCTTCTCCACCATTATATACCCCTCCTTCTTCCCTTTTACAAACCCCTCAATTTCTTGTTTTCTTCACAATTTTTTTTTCTAACCAAACAGTTCCTTAATTATCTTCATTTCTTCTTCTTCTTCTTCTTCCTCTCATTGGGTCAAAAACCCTAAAAATGGAGTTCCCTGAGATCAACATGATCAGCGATTTTGAAGCAGGGGTGAAATGTCTACAAAACCCATCTCTGGTTTCTCGATTCTTTTCACTTTCTCCCATTGAAAAAGTACCCCAAGTTTACAGTTTCTGGAAATGGGGTGCTTTAATTCTCGCCATTTTAGCTACTTTCAGCAGCTTAATAAGAAAGATCAAGCTATTATTCATTTACGTTCGTAGAATGAAACCTTCTGCTGAACCCCTTCTTCAATATCTAGGCGAAGACTTCGATATTTCCGATGACGACGATGAAGATGATAAATGCTCGTCGGCGGCGGCACCGTCTTCGGATGATGAGGATCTATTAGATCAACAAATTGATGAGGATTTTACTGTTGCGGGGTCGTGTTTTTATTTCAGGGAAAAAGGGCAAAATAGGAATTTGAGATTCCGGCGGCGGAGAAATAGCTTCGAGAGGTTTCCATGGACGGAATTTTCTGCCGGAAAGAATGTTGTGAAGCTATGGGATAGTTTAGCTTTAGGATTAGATTATGAATACGAAGATTTATCGAAAAGTGTAGTTTCGTTATGGGATTTGAATCAGGAAGAGAAAATAGGAAATTTATTTACTGGGTCTTCTGAGGTACCGTCGGTGGCAATGGCGTCGCCGTCTGTGGTTTTGTCAACGGAAGTGAAAAACGACCGGAACGGTGTTGTTTTAGCTGCGTATGATACAAGGATGAAAAGTAATTCTCCGGCGATATGTGCTGACTGGGGTAAAGGATCAGGGAAGGTCGTCGGAGTTAATGGTTCCGGCGTCGGAAAAGTTTACGTCAGAAATGAAGCCGCCGGGAAGTTGACGGTCGGTGATTTGAGAAACGTGAAAACGCTGTTAGAGTAAATTGACGGTGACACGTGGTGGGACGCAGACGCCGTTATTGTCGAGGAGAAATTTGACGGTTCAAAAAAATGAGAAAACGCGGCGAGGACTTGTGTTTTTTCTAGAAAGGGTAAAATCGTCAATGAACACATGTCTGTTGTATCTCTCTGTATATAATTAATTATTTTCGACAATTATTGAAAATGATGATAAATTAATGTTTGGTCAAGCTTTATTATTATTTTTCTACATTTAAATTGTTTATGTCTCTTTATAAATATTCTAAATCTGATTTTCTTCGTGAATTATTGTTGATTAGTTTGTTGAGTTATTTTATTTTTGTTTCTTAGCTGGTGATTCTACCAAATTCAATTAATTATATATAAGTGGTCCTTTTGTCAATAATTAAATATTTGTTAGCCAGTTCAGCTAGTTTAAGTAGCCAAGTTTAATCTTTAATCACAATTTTATGAATGGGTTTAAACAAATCACATGGTTACTAAGAAATGATAGATAAAATTATGTCTGTGTTGACTTATGATTTTACGCGAACTGAAATTTTATAAGAAAATGTTAGATTAAAGTAGTTATTGTAGTTATTAAATGACGATTTACCATTTTGTATGTGAGGCTGAATAATATATAAACAAATAATAGACGTGAATCTAATGTTGTCCGAAAGGATAATTTCCTAAAATTCTACCATGAACTAAAATCTGAATGATGGTTTCGAAAAAAGTTATTTGTGAAAATCACCCTAAAGGCAAAAATGCTCCTTATTGACATTTTATTTAATTCTAAAGCTCGAAATCAAGATATTCGATTTAGGATGGTGGATCTCTTTTACTAAGGGCACATCCTTTGGTGGAAAAATGTAAATTGACTATCCTCTAGAACAAAAACAACATTAACATGGTATGAATAAGTTTGACAAAATTGAGTAACTTTTATTAATCAGAATACACAATTGATGAAGAGAAAATAAGAATGATTACATTAGCAATGACCATTCTTTTTTGTGCTTATATTAGGATTCGTCTAAATTTAAATTTATCTATTGCATACCCATTTTTGGAGCATCAACTTCAATAAAAAAAAAAAGAATGTATCTTATTCAGAAAGAAGTAAATTAGAATCATCCTACTACAATTTACGCAGATAATAATAGCCACTTGAATAGAATATGATCAATCTTTTTCAGAATTGCTTGTACAAATCAAACTGTGTGATAGCAACAATTCCAAGTAAACAACAAAGCTTGTGGTGGAGTGGTGAGTATTCTTTCATCTCTAACCATAAGTCTCAGATTTAAGTTTCCTTGGATACATAGTCACTTTTGTTAAGTGGAACTTCCCGATGCAAATTCAAATTTAATCAAACTTTCATGTGGATACCAAACTAGGGATGTGGGATCAGAAAAACAATTTCAAGTAATCACAAAAATCATGTTAAGTGGGTGCATTGTTTTTCATAAATGAATCAAACACTTTTAGCTGTCATCCATAATAATACAACAATAACATCAACCACTCAATTTATTTGTCTTAACTCATCACAATAAATACATAGGACGACAACAAAAAATGAGGCATCAAGTAGACAATTTCATCAGTGGGCCTTATTTTGGTTGAAAAAAGAAAAAAGTATACTTTTGTTAAAGTAGTTTCCATGCTGGATTATTGTTGATTGTTAAACCTGTTATTATAAATTTGATATGAATGCGTAATTTAATAATATAAGTAGTTAGTATACATAAGTTAAACTCGAACAAAATATTATTTCATTTAACAGACAAGCTTAACTTGAACACATTTAATATTCTCGTATTCTACTATAGCTCCGCCCCTATGTGCATGAACTATCAGGATTGATATAGGAGTTAAAATCATAATGAATATTGTTTGGTGATAGAACACTTTATCTACTTGATAGCCTATTTTTATGTGCATCTGAACTAGTCGGGAAAATGAATTTCGAACAACCGAACACCTAAAAAGAAAGAAGAAATAGAAGAAAGTTGGAGGAAATGATAAGGATTAAAATTTCAAGTAAAGTTTAAATAAATTTATGTTCATGAAATTCTATTATAATAAAGAAAAAATCAAAAGATAAAAAGGATTATTTGCACCATATGGCTTTTTTCTAAATCTTGTTTTTAAATTCAGTTTCCATTCATATAATGGCCTATAATTCTACCTTGGAATTTAGTTGGATGAATTTTTATTCTCATAGAAAATTTAACCCAATGAACTAAAAAAGAATTGAACAAAATTAGTTGCCTCAAAAGGGTTATTTGTGCAATTGTGCTACATAATAAAAGAAAGAATTGATGAAGTAAATGGCTAAAGTGCAAATGCTGAATCAGAGGAATATTGGGCTTGGCCCATTATTTGTTAACTTACTTTGTGAAGAAGCCCATATCTATATTGGGCTGATAGGTGCCCAGTCCCGGCTTAGGCTGGGCACCAATCAGCCAACTATTATCTTTTGGAATGGAAAGAAAGAACGAATGGTCGTAGATAACTGATTCAAATTTGTGAAAAAGATTATATGTAAATGAGTAGTTAGATTATGGGTTCTCAGAGTAGACGGAATGGAGAATGAATGAAATAGAATAGTTTGGAAGAACCGTACGATAAGGAAAGTGGACTTAGCCCAATGATGTTAATAATTGTAATTTGTTAACAATTATCTAGCCCAAAACTTAAGCCCATGAACCAAAATAAACTGTTAAGTTGAAAGAAATGGCCACTTCTTGTTGGTGTTAATTAAAATGTAACGCACCATTAAAAAAAAGTAAATCTCTACATTTTTATATGTAGCTTCCTAATCTTTTTAACTACTAATACAAAATTTTAATTTGTTAAAACACACACACAAACTAAATTACACGTGGCCCCATCATGACAATCCATAGATCTTTCGATCAAATTAAGTTTCACGAGGCCCATTACCACGATGAACAATCAATTTTGGAGAGTGTGCGCAAGCATGCATGAACCAAGTGTCATGCAATTATTTTTTTATGTTTGTGTTGCTCAGACTGTAAAAAGTGCAATCGCCTTCATCTTGAATCCGTTAAAATTGCATTATTTTTGAAGAATTTGACATAAATTCAGTACGTTTTTAGAGTCTACTTATGACCACCAGGCCTGTATTTACTGGTCATGTACTAAATTATTTCTGTAATATAAATATAGTTGCTTGAATTATAAGGAATGACAACTACTACATATAACATGTGTTGATTAATTAAATTTATCAGTTCATGCTTTCTAGCTAGTAAATAAGAATTGAGTCACATAATAGGGACAAATTAAAGGTAAAAATGTTTTTATTTTATTAATATATCTGGGGAAAGGAACATTACCCTGTTGCACAAATATTAAAAAATGTTGAGCATGCATAAAACCCAACAAAAATATATACTTTCTGATCATTGTGATTTGTGCCTATAAACAGTCATATATGACAGTCAAAATTAAGAACATTATTTATTGTAGTATGGTGGGTAAAATGTTGAGAGACGGATTCAGAATTTAACGGATTCATCGTCCCTTTAAGATAACTTCATTTTTCTCTCAGTAGCGGAGAGAAACTTGCTTATTTTCTTGAATTGCTCAGTGAGCTTTTCAAAATAAACATGGTATATAAAAAAATTTATATTTGATTTTGCTCAACCTAAAGTTATATGTTTGATAATCACCGATAACTTTAGCGCAAATTCTATTTTTGTATCAATAGTCTATCAAGAATCCAATAAATAAACATAATTGTGATTTAGAATTCATAAATACTAAAAATCTTGCTCCACCTGACTCTAATTAATATATGCTTCGTGTAAAAATTATTAAATTCTGATGAATCGTAGATATATATATTTTGTAGTACATGCATGGGGTTGTGTAGGATCATGCGCAAATGGAAGCATAAACGCACGCCAACTGACCAAAACCCACTTCTTTATGCACTCCCTTCTTAATTCATTGGCTTGGGAAATACAATATTATTGAGCTCACTCACCGTTTATTTTTACTTATTCATTATACTTAAAGTAAATATTTAATTTTATTTGTTCCGTTTAAAGAATACAGAGGTAATTTACTATTTTATCCTTGTTATCAAGTAATATAATTATTTCTAACATATATAATTAAGAATGATATAGTAAATTAAATTACTCATTTATTAATTAATTCTTCACGAATGTGCCAAGTTAAACATGGACGGAGAAAGTACTTATTTTTTTTTAATTTAAATGTAAGATACTGTACTCCTTTATGACTCCCCATTCGATATTTTTGTCTTTCACTCTTTCTATTCTTCTTGGATCCCATTAATCGTAGCTTCCATATTTTTTTTTTGGTTTCTCGATCGGTGTTCAAAGTCTCCATGGTAACTTTTATCGTCATTTTATGTTTCCTTCCAATTGAACTGGTTAAATTCTTATTTTTAATGCACAAATAATAATATATAAAAAAAAATTTTATCTGATATATGTATGATATTTATGTTGAAGTCCAATCAATTCTTTCAGTACTAAGAGTCAATAAAATCCACATATAGCACATTGTTAAACCTAATACACATCTATGTATTGCATAAGTTCCATAGTGCTCGTTATCAAGTATTTTTGGATGAAAGGAGTAAAAGATTATTTTTTGTTATAATAAAACATCTTATTTTAAATTAAACCAACATGTCTAAGTTCAGCCGCTGCAAATAATTGAAGCTGCAGTTTGGAAGGCATGCGATTCTATTTTAGTCTAAATTTAATTTATAGTTAGAGTATTTTTTTTAAACTATATATTAGGACATATTAAGGGGCTTAGTATTATTAATCATTAATTAGCTATATAGGGGTTACATGCATACCACCATTGTTTGCCTTAGCATGTAATTTGATGATCTCAAACAAATTAGTTAACACTAGCTAGCTCAACTAATTATGCATTGTGACATCATAATCATTTGATATGTTGTAAATAATTATGAGAGTGTGTCGACTAGTGGGGTTTACAGAAAAATACTCATACATTTTAGGCGATAATATTTTTATTATTATTATTTTTATTCGTGGTTTCCGGGTGTCGCTTTGCGAACCCGACTAGCTGTACCCACCGGGTCCCACTGTTTCAAGGCGGGTGCACCACAGTTAGTTCCACGGGGCCCTGGAGACGCGGCCGGTTTGTAATGCGTCCAGTGGCCCTGCTGGGGCTCGAACTGGCAACCTGAATTTAGGCGATAATAAGTTCTTAAGAAAACACACATCAATTTTAGATGAATCACACATCAGAAGACAAAAAAATAAAAGATTTTATATCAGACATATTGAATATGATTGTCCAAAAAAGCTTGCTCCTTTAATTCCTTTAAAACTTCTTATATAGTTATTTAGGTAACATGTGATAAAAGAAAAATAAGGTTCAAACTAAAGCCACTTTTGTGTAAATAAAGACCATAAGTTATAAGCTAGATATGTTCACCAAAACCATAATTTATATATATAGTTTTTGATATTATTTTCAAAGAGTTGAACCAACAAAAATACATTTTAATTAATTTCAATTAAAACCTTGTTTGGAGGGTTGTTACTTTGTTATATTGTCGTTTTCCATCGTGAAAAAATACATTTTGATTGTTAGTTAAATTTTAGGGAATTGTATAGTTGAAATCTATCGTGAAATAATGACGAAAAGTTTTATTTCAATGAGATTTAGGTGATCACAATCTTGCCTTAACATTTTTAGGTGATCGCAATATTGTCTTAATATTTTCTTCTCAAATCATCCAAATTTTAAAAATACTACATTACATGACAACGAAAAAAGATACAATTATCACAAACATTTTATTCATTACGACAATATAGCACAGCACAGTACAATCTTCATGTTCGGTAATACAACTTGTCTTTCCCAAATTTCCGTTGCCGGAATCTTGCTGTTTCCCGGCGACATCGTCGGCGGTAAGCTTCCATAGCCTCTACTCGTTGGATATTACACATCTGTTTCCCCGTTAGATACCTCGTGTTTTCGTTTATCCTTTTCACTTCTTCCGGTATCCTCAACCCAGTGCTCCGATCGGAAAACTCATTTTTGAGTTCGTCGTACATCCCATCGATTCGTTTGCTTAGAAACCGATTCAGAACCGGTCTCGATAGCGAGGCTTTGATTAAGGGATTCGACCCGTCGATGATAAATGGTAGTTTCCGTCGATTATTGATATCGGAGACTCTGTTATTATCTATAAACCATAAATCGGAACTAGAAAACTCCGGATCGGGAAGTTCGCCGAGTAAATGGTGATAACCGCCACGCCGTTCACCTTCAGAGCGTGTAAACACTTGAATCTTATCGGAATCGTTAAAACACTTGGCGCTGTCGATTGTTAGTTTCGATTTGCCAGTAGCAGTAGGTCCCATTATAATAACAAGACCCATTTTCTGTTTGTGAGAGTGGCGATGTAGAGAGAGAAATAAATACAGGTGAATTCCCAAAATTATAGGAATATTGGGCTTGGGCTTGGGCTTGAACCAACCTATTATCTCTACTTTGTAATGAAGATGTAACATAAGAGCCCAATAATGATGTGAGGCCAAGAAATGTTGGACAATATGTACATGCGTTTAAGATTAACTTACACAAATTTCACGAGTTATCATTTTGGTGTTTTCAGATACATGTATCTTGAAATACATTGCACATGTATCAAGGATACACAACAAATCTCGCCCGCAACTTTCCTATGTATCTAACATGTGAATTGTACTAGATATATACAAATACATAACGAATCTAGCTCGCCTCCCTCCTCATATCGTTCACCTCTCTTGCTATTTTAGTGTAGAAGGTAGCAAAAATATATGTATCTAAGGGGTCGTTTGATAGAGTGTATAAAAATAATGTTAAATAGAGTGTATCAACAATGCATGTATTATTTATGCTTGCATTAATTATACATAGATTATTTTAATGCATTATTTGGTTTGATGCATTAAAAATACAAAGATACCCTTGACTTTTATGGTGGAAAAGATGTAAAAAAAGGTGTAATTTGGGTCTTTTATCATATTAATGCATGCATTGCTAATACCTAGAAATAGAGTTTATAATTAATACAAATATTAGTTATACATAAATTTTAAAAAAAAGATACTAATAATACACAAGACTAATACATGCATTATTTCATAATATATATGCATCTTGGTTAACTAATTTTGTCAGCTCATGGTATCTAGTCTAAGTAAGAAAATGAGTCATATAGAAGGGAAAAGGTTCCTTTTTAATTTTTTTTTAATACTATTAATATTATGTGGCATGGGAAAGACACAAATATATAAATACTGAGCATGCATAGAACACAACAAACATACCTTTTTTTGTGCATACTAAAACAGTCATATATATGATTTCGTATTGCGATATGAAATTACATATTTAAATGCCTTTTAGTTTGTAACTTTTGTGGGCGAAATAGTGTGCAAGTATATATATGATCAGTGTTAAATTAGTTCAAAAAATTTCAGGATTCAATATATTAAAAAATAAACACATGAAAAGTCAGTGAAATTCGATGTTTATACTTAAAGGAATTGTTAGCAGTGGACAACTTTCGGCAGTAAATAACAAAATCCGTTGTTATTGAAAAATTTATGTTAATTTCAAGCTATTTAGCGATAGTTTAGCAACAAAAGAAAACTCATTCGCAATTTTTAATTTAATTTTCTGTCGAAAGAGGTTTTAATTTCCCTACTTTCAGCGTCATAAAGAATTAGGTAATATACTATTTCAATATTACTCTTATCATTAAGTAACTATATAAAATACAAATCGTTTTAGATTAGATTTTCAAAATATATCAAATAAATTAGTAATATAAATTCCTAATAAATATTTTTTGTAGAATGTCAACTATCAAGTCAATAGGGCCAAATTTTAAATAAATAAATAAATAAAGGGAATAATTATTAATTTGTAGCATGATTGAAGAGCACTTATTTGTTAGTATATTACAAGTTAAATTATACTAACCATGTAAATTATACTAACCATGTAATAAAATATTTGTTTTATGAATATATATAAGTTTAAATTGGAATATGAAATAGTGTATGAGGGTTGCCGCATGGGTTCTATTGGGATCATGGGCTAAAAAAAAAAACCGCACGCGTACTGACCAAAACCTAAGGCATTGGCAATAGAATACTACTTTTGGGGTTCGGATTTCGAGAGTATATATTTATTAGGTATGAGGATAATTCTGAGAGAAGTATCGAAAATAATTTTGAACTTTAATAGGTTTTCGATCTTGTAACAAGAGTGAAATATACTGCTAATTTTTTTTGAGTTTAAGAGTGTTTTTAACACATCTTAATTTTTTATTAAGAGTCTTGTGCTCCTACAAGAGTCTGAGACCACTTGTTATATTATGTGGTAGATCCAGATTGTATCTAAGTTTTGTTAGTCAAGTAAAATAATATTTTCAAGACTGTCAATAGTTCGTGAGTAAAATTAATGATTTGCAATGTTTTCAATATTTCTCTCTATAATTATGGTAGTTTTAAAGTATTTTTTGTTAGAGGTTATAATTAATGATTTGTCTTTCACTCTTTCTGTTCTTCTTGGATCTCCTCCCATTAATTGTGGTTTCAGTCATCCCTCGAATATAATTCTACATGTCATGAAAAATGTAATAGCGAAATAACTATAATTATTAATAAAAATAAATTAGAAATTAAGTAAAAATTATTTATTGATTTTATAAAATAGGCAAGTATTTTTAGACATTCAAAATAATATAGTTGTCAACTATTATTGAATGGAGGAAGTATAAGATAAATTCACTAGTATGATGGTTCAAAAAGCTAGCTAACTCTAGCTCCTTTAATTCATTGCGATTATCATCATAATTATCCCATGTATTTTGGTATGAAAGTATTAATTTCTTTTCACCTTAGAATGATTTGTGTTATGTGCACACTAAAATTAGAGACCTTTATGTGTTTGGTTAAATCATTACTTGTTCATTATATTGTAATGACATGAAATTTACAGATAGCACAATGTTTATGAGTTCTTTCTATATTGCTAATTAACAAAACTCATATTAAATCTGTGGTTACTAAAGTATTTAAATATATATATATGACTGCTAAAAGTGTGATTTATGAGGAAATATATACAACAAGTCAATAACTATATTATTTTTTTAATTTAAAAATAAATTGATTTTTTTTTTTAGTTAAAATGTATTAAACTTAAAAGGATAAAATGTTTAAAAAGGTGAAATTACATTTAAAAAAAAATATCATTCTGATCAAATTTTCTGACAAAAAAACTTTGAAAGAAATAGATAAATAAAAAGTATATTTTAATGGAATTGGTGTGATCTCATTGTTACATTGGTATGAAAGTATTATTCCCCCCCCTAGAATGATTTGTGTAATGTGTGCACTAAAATTAGAGACCTTTATGTTTTTGGTTAATTCATTACATGAAACTTACAGATTTACAGATAGCATTATGTTTATGAGTTCTTTCTATATTACTAATCAACAAAAGTCATATTAAACAATAGTTGAATCTTAGAACTGTGGTTTACTTAAAAGTTCATATCTATCTATCTCACTCTCTATATACTTTAATATAGTATAATTTATAGGAAAATATATACACAAATCAATAACACGTACAGTGATTTCTGATTTTATTACAATGTAATCTAAGAAAACTTTGAAAATATATATAAATAAATTTATTTTTAGCAAACCATCCATTTGACTATCTTGGATCCGTAGTCGCACAACACATACTCTATATATTCTTAATTACTTGTTCACTTTTCATTTTTTAGTTGTCCCTAATTATTTGTTCATTTTGACAAATCAAGAAAGGGCAATGTATTTTTACCTATTATACTCTCAATTAATTAAAACTTCTTGAAAATCTTAAATTTTTAATGCATCTACTTCATAATTAATATGGGTAAAATGATAAACTCACTATCTCAATAATTATTTTCTTAATAGATGTGTTAATTCAAAAGTGAACAAATAATTAGAGACTTTATTGATATTATTGTCAAAGATTTGAACCAACGGAAATACATTTTAATTAATCGCGATTAAAACCTTGTTTGTATTGTATCTTCTAAATCTACATCATTAGGTAATGATGAAAATTTTATTCGATGTGATTTAGTATGATCGCATCATTACATTAATATTTTATTCTCATTCATCGTAACTCTAAATCATCCAAAGTATTAAGGAGAAGTATACAATTATCACAAACATTTTTTTATTCATTAGGATAATACAATACGGTAAAATACAACACAATACATTATCAAACAATACGGAATAACCCTCCAAACAGTGTTAAGAGCTGAAGGAGTAAAAAGTTTCACAATCTTCATGTTCGGTAATACAACTTATCTTTCCCAAATTTCGTTCGCCGGAATCTTGCTGTTTCCCGGCGACATCGTCGGCGATATGCTTCCATAGCCTCTACCCGTTGGATCTTCCACATCTGTTTCTCCGTTAGATACTTCGTGTTTTCGTTTCTCCCTTTCACTTCTTCCACTACCCCCAACCCAGTGTTCTGATCGGAAAACTCATTTTTGAGTTCGTCATACATCGTCTCATCGAATCATTTTCCCTGGTACCGATCCAGATCTGGGTTGAAGAAGAAGTGATGACAAAGCTCCTTTGATTCATACTGAACCGGGTTCCACTTATCGAAAACGTCGAGATCCGGGTTGTACCGGTTCGATGAAGGATTTAGACCCGCCGACGATTGATGGGAGTTTTGGTCTGCCGGAGACTCTGTCATCATCTGTGCACAGAAAATCGCGGAGTAAATGGTGAAAAAAGCCACGTCGTTCAGCCACTGAGCTTTTGTTGGTCTCAACGCCAAAACTAATCCTATTTGCGAGGTAGATTGTTAGTTTTGGTTTGGCAGGAACAACAGCAGTACAATCCATTTTAACAACAGCATCCTCCATTTTTCGTTTGTGAGGGTGACGATGTAGAGAGAGAAATAAATACAGGTGAATGAATATTGGGCTTGGGCTTGAGCCTATTATCTCTACTTTGTAATGAAGATGTAACAGAAGAGCCCAATAATGATGTGAGGCCGAGAAATATTGGATCAAAGCGGACAATATGTGCCATGCGTTTAAGTATAAATTTGGGAAAATTAGTAAACTAATCACAATTCCTAACTTAATTAGTAAAAACATCTACACTTTAAAATAATTATTTAAAATGTCAATATTTTAGAAAATAATTTGTATCCAAATACTATTATTTGTCTTTCCTTTCATTTCTCAAAATAGTCCAACATGAAATACATTCACTACCCATTTAGACTTCTTCCTAGGCTTTAATACAATTAAATTTATTTTCCATCTTTCACGTTTTCAAAATTTTTCTCTTTCATCAAATTTTCACCATTATTCTCTCCCTCATT